ACGTGGCTGCCGCAGTAAGTTGGTTCCGATTGATCGACATGCTCGGGACTTCTTCAGTCCTTATTTACAATCTCACAGTATATATAGCTTATAACCAAGGTCCTGTAGAATATGTATATATATATGCAAAATTTTCGTGTTTTCTGATTTTTGTATTAATTGAAATTCGATTATTTCAATTAAAATAATTTATAGGGCCTAGTATTAGGCCACAAATCACATAGTCAACCCCTTTATTCCGTTTAAAATTAGTATTTAGGTTTAACAAATTTGGTTTAACTAGGTGGATTTACTGTTTCTTTGGTTTAACAGGGTTTTTCGGATTCAGTTGGAACAGTTAACTTCTCAACAAGTTGCTCAAATTGAAGTTAAAGAAATTAAAAAATGACCTTGATTGAAAATAAAAGGTAATTAAAAATTAACAAAGTTGAAAAAAGTATTCTGCCAGTTTTCTTTTTTTTCTTGATTCTTTACTAGAATTCTCTAATACTCTTTTGAAAACTCTTTCCTCTTAATAAATTTCATAGGTAATCCTTTCTTTGTCTAAATATGTTTGCAAATATTTGGTATCTGCTAATTTAAAAATGTAAGGAGCAATTTTTTCACCTTGTTCCTTCTTCAAAATACTTCTGATGGTGCTATAATTCTTAGGTTCCATGGTAGATCTGATATAAATGAGTTTCATATTAACTATTTTTATATAGAGATAATTCTATATATCACTCGAGGTAACAAATTGGACTGTTAAATTATAATTGCAATGTGATTGTGATAATAACGACTAAATTGATCCCTGTAATTCTTGGTAATACCAATGTTCACTTTGTCCCAAATGAAAAAAATGAAAAAAGGGGTAATGGATGATATTAAAAGACATATTTGAAGATAACAAAATAATTTATGAATATGAATATATGAATTTAAAAGGCAATGAAATATTTAATGGAGATAATATCAAAAATGTCAAAACAATTAATGAAAAGGTATGAAATAATTAGATTTTATTCAAAGAAAAAAAAATAATATGATATTTTAAAGAAAATCATTAATGTATTAATAAAATTAATTAATTAATGAAAAGATTTACCATTTAATTAAATAGGTAATAAACAAATCCTTTGAAAAATTTAAGCTTGAAATGTAGAAACCAATATCTATCATTCTAAAATCATGGAAAAAATCATCAAAATCATGATTTTTAAAAATAACAAAGGAACAAAAAACATGAATGTTAAGAAAATTGGAGATGATAAAAATAAATGTATTGTGGAACAGATATTGATAATATAATGAGTTTGAATGATGGATTAAATTTAGATGACCATGTAAGTATGATAACTGAATATAATATGAAAATAATATGATTAAATAATGATTAGTGGATTTTACAAGAAAAATTGAATTAAGGAATAAACAAACATTAAAAATAAAGTCAACCCATTTTTACCTCCTAACATATATAACATATATTAATAATATTGATGTTTAGTTGTTTGTGCAAACCATTTATCCATATCTTCTAATATAATAATACAAAAAAATAAATTATTTATTATTAAGAAAATTTGCCAAAAAAAAACCAAAACATATACTAACCAACACTTTTATCAATATAATTCTTGTTGTATTGCAAGTATAAAGAATGTTTTAAAAAGGGCAAACAAAAAAACTTTGAATATATTGCGAGATAACCACACCCTCTTGGGTCAATTACCTGCAAAATTCAATACTTTGGACTTATACCTAAAGGTAAAGACCAAAATAGCCTAATCCACAATATGACCAAACTTTGCTGAATGGCATAGTGGCACAGCAATTCTTCCAAGCACCACAGGAAAAAAATTCTTTATACCTCTTTGTATATAATTCTTTTTACAAATACATTTATTTATGTATTCTTCTAATGTCTTATAAGCAAATCTATTGGTTGTATATAATAATTGATTAAAACTAAGGGAAAAAAATTTACACAAAAAATTTACATAGTCTATTCAGATTCCATAATATGTTACCGGATTAGACTTTAATGCAGATATTTTTGCCGAACCTCTTAATTCCGGATCCAAACTCTATTCTTGACGATTTATACAGTCTCGGTAAACTCCAGGGCAAAGCGATCCCCTTGGTATTCGGTTGCATCATCATATCATCGGGGGATGCAAGTCAGATTAACCTTGTGTATATGAGGAAGATGTGAGAATGACTGTAAAGTGTCCAAGGTAGTGTGCGTGCTTCAACGTCTGCAAATTTCTGATAATCAAACATCGTATATTGAAAGGTCTCTTTTTCAACAGTTGCTGCCTTGACATTCTTGTAACTATTTATTATTATTAATACTATTGTTATTATTAATATTGATTACGAAAAGCAAAATACACAATCTTGATGAGAATCTTATTACCCAGCAAGTTCTGCTCTGCGTTTTGATTTCAATTATAATATTTATAAAATCAAAAAAAGTAAAAATATATATATCAATACAAAAAAAAAACAATTGCAAACATAAACTGGTATAATTTTTTTTATCAATGGCATAAACAAAAATTCTAGTATGATAGAGCTTTATTCCTCTTTAGAAAAATGTATCCCTTAAATCATAAGTTTAGTGATCATGAATTACAAGCATGGAATACAATGCTAAGAGCTGTGGGTTGTACAAATATCACTCCTTTCAGTAATAAAATTTCACCTGTAAGTTAAAATAATTTCAAATGA